AAGTAAAAAAAGAAAGAATTAGAGAAGAACACTTCAGAATCAGTGAACTAAAAAGGTGTTACATTCATTATTTTTAAATACTTAGGTTATTAAGAAATCTAAAATGTTACACAGTTAGAGGTAGATAACAGTCCCAAGTTTCCATGGAATCTAATAATTTAGTATCTGGACATCAAACAGATCACAAACTCCTTCATTATCATCTAAATTAAAGTTGTAGTCATCTGCAGGGGTAGGAGAAAGCCGTAAGAGTGGAAACACTGCAAACAAACAGAATCAAGGTTAAATGGTTTCTACATACAGGCGATGAGGTTTAACAATCTGTTCTCAAATACCTCAACCAAACTGTTTCATGGTTACTTACACATGGATTAAAAAGTACATATATATGCATAATAATGATCCTGTTAATGATTGATGTTTATACTTTGATGAAACATTCTCAGGTAAAGACAATTTATACATTGGTTATTGGTATTAGACTGTGTTGTTTGCCACTTTGAAAACAGAAATGTGTGTGCAGATTTACCATTTGCTGATGTTCTCTACCTAAATGTTTAGTAAATCTCTTAAATCATTACTGTACCATTTGTTAACTTAACTGCTACCACTTCTTAGGTCTCTGCTACATTTGTTAGGAACCAGGATGCTGAACACATGAACAAAGGTGAAACCCACAGAGAGATTATTAATGTAATGTTGAAGCTAATTGATTTTTAAACCATTTCATATTAAGTGATGACATGGCTGATGTTAGTAATAGTGTGGTAATTTGCAGTGGTAACTTGAAATTAGCAATGGTGGGAGTATTTACAAAACTGAGTTTTCCTGTCACCTGTTGATGTTGACATATTATTTTACTCATCTTGAACCAGATTCTTCAGGAGTGCAAAGCGCTAGTTTTCCAACAGTTTACGCAGTGAAAGTGCTAAGAATCTCCTTATGGATTCTTTCTCCTCAAAATGCGAACAAAGAGAAACAAGTTCTGAAGGATGCCTGTGCTTTATTATAAAGTATTATTAAAGGAGAATCCTCAGACACAGTGAAACAGTTAAATAGATTTTTTTGTTCATTTTAAATCATATGTCACTTACAAATTCTAGGAAGGCATTATTGATATACAATAAAATTTTAAACTACTTACCATCAGAAGACATTAACTCATCGATAATATCTCCACTAATAGATCCTACTGGAAAAAGATGTTACAAAATTATGTCACATTTTTATATACATTTAGGTACAGGTAGTCACATCATCGGCTTCATTGACAAAGCAAAATTAAAGTATTAGAACTTTGTAGAAAGATCATTTTCAAAATATTTATTCCATATCTGGCATTATTTTTAAACTACCTAACTCAAGATGTGGATCAAAAGAGTCATTCTTCCAAAGCAGACTCAGTTTTACAGTTTGTGGTATTGTAATTCTCCTAGTCACTCAATCTTAAAACTAAACATTTTTTTTTTTTTTAGTACCGGGGATCCAACTTGGGCCCTTGCACTTGTGAGGCAGGCAGCAGCACCACTGAGCTAAATCCCTGGCCCAAAACTAAACATTTTTCTATTTCACCTGTTAACTGTATCTCCAGCTTTCATATAGCAACTGTTACTATTATTTCACCTAAATAGTTTTTCTCAAATCTGGTCATGATTTCTCTCTTCAGTCCCAACAGCATCCTCCCTCTTCCACCCTTGATATTCTCTGATTCATAACTACAGACATCTAATCTTCAATTTTTATAGCTTCTGATCACTTTGCTTCCCAAAGCCCTTGTTCCCAATCATATTACTCCTGTGCTCACCACTAGACAACTCAAATTCTACTACTTCCCTGGTCACAGTTTAAGTGATTATCAGCTAAGTCTTGGCTGTTTAAGGATTTCTCTAACAAGCCTAAAATTACTTTACTGTTTCACGATACAAAACCATATACAGAAATTAGATACTACATTTTTTCTTCTTTTTTTGGTACCAGGAATCGAACTCGGGACCTTGTAATTACAAGGCAGGCGGCAAAACCACTGAGCTAAATTCCCAGCTCGATCATACTTTTTTTTTTTTAATGCTTTCTGGAAGCCAGTGTACCAGTTGTGTTGACACTAAAATATATAAAACTTGCCTGCTTTACTAATCCTAGGTAGATTATAATTAAATTATAAGTTTTTTAAAGACTAAACCTATTGTGCATCCTTGTGGCCTATAGTATAGAAATAACAGGAAATGAAATAGAAAAGGCTATGAGCAACAGGAGGCTAAAAAGTAATCCATGTCTCATTAAATATTTTTAGTTTTACTTTTTTTTTTTTTTTTGGTACCAGGGATCAAACTCGGGTCCTTGCGCTTGCAGGGCAAGCGATGGAACCACTGAGCTAAATCCCTGGCCCTTTAGTTTTACTTTTAAATATTGTGAACTCCCAGAGGAGTAGCAATGAGACACATCTAATAAAAGTAAATGATTTGTATTTTGTACAGTGCCATTTTAAATCTGCCATATTGGCACAGTCATTCATTTAGCAATCATTGAGAGACTCCCTGCTATACAATTTATTTGGAATTGGTTAGGAGTTGCTAAAGACAGCCCTGAAACTAAGGAAGACTGGGTGCCACAAAAAGTTTTAAAAATTCCAGAGTTGCGGTTCCACCCTCCTGATGCCCAATTTTTAGTGTTTCAGCCATTTATCATTTCACAGATAAAACAATTTAGAAAGTTAAGATTTCCTGGATAACAAGTAGAGACCATTTATCAACTATATAAAACTAAGCTTCCCAAATAAAAAGCTTACAAAGAATATGGAGAAACAGGCATAAGTCATGTTCTATACTAGCTTAATTTTTTTCTTAAAGGTTGTTGAACACATTCAGTAATTTTTCCTAGATTTACTAAGAGATTAAAAAAAAGGGTAAACTACAGATATAAGTTGACATATATAAATAGTAAAAAGAAGAAAAAAATAAATAAATCTGGCCTAACTAATCCCAAAAATGGAATCCTAGAGGAAACAGCAAACCTTGGCCCACAATTACCTTTCTCATGCTTAGCAGTCATAGTTCTAAATAAAATCTTAACTACATTAGATTGTACCTAATATTTCTGAATTGGATGTGTATTCACATGTAAAATCTGTAGCAAGATAATTAAAGACAAGATAATATCGTGCTCGCTTTGGCAGCACATATACTAAAATTTCATAATACCTATCTATTTCCATGCTGGGCACACAGGAGACACTAAATACTTGTTGATTGAATTAAGCTTATTTCCCTCCCATATTAGATAATAGAATAGTATCACAACTGACATTCAGAAAAGCTCTTCAACTTGTTTAATGTAATGCTCATATTTTCCCATCTACGTTTAAAAAAAAAAGGCTCTGCACCCACCAGAAGCTATTTCTGTAGCTGGTATCTGCTGAAGACTCTGGCTTCTTTCGGACACATGTTGCTCAGGCGAGTTCTGAGCCAGCATGCTGGATTTCTGTGGAGTCACTGGAGTGGAGGACTGAGAAGAAGGCTGTGTGAGGTCATCAGGTGGGGGGACGGGAAAAACCACAGGCTTAGATGAACTGGACTCTTTATTGATAAGCAGCACGTGGATAGGTCCTGAATGACTTTTTAAATTGATCTGGTATTTCTTTTGTCCATTCTGACCCTTTGAAATTTATTTGGGATAAAGTGTTAATGTTAACATTTCTAGCTACCTTGAAACATTAAAAATGAGACAGGCAAAGCTATTAGGGACTAAATTCATACAACCAAATAAAGTTATTAAATTAAAAAATGAGTAAAGACTAAGAGTAGAATGGGACACTGAAGGCTCTAAGGTACTTGGCCCTAAAAAAGTTCTTCTTAAATACTTATCATCAAAATTTGTCAGTTGTAGAATTCTGGCAACCATGCATTTTTACTGCATGTAATCTTATCTTTCAGTGCTCCATAATACCTATTCCAGTGCTGGGCTCATTCATATACATGAATTCCATCTCCCGGAGTCAGCCATCATGACTATGGTCATCTCAACATGCTGTGTTGCTTTACTATTTCACAAGCTAACCCCCCTTTTTATTAAATTAGCAAACAGACAACTGACTTCCTACAGAGATACAAATACAAAATCTCTCTATTTCAAGAAAGTAATATGTATCTTGAAGTTTCAGAATCAGTAATATAAATACCTAAACACAAACGTCTAGAATAGGTGCAGGGGAGGGTAGATAATATATATTCTTTTTAATTCCCTTTTTGGTTGGTATAGCTTATATCACTTTGTTTTAGAAAATCATAATCTGAAAACCAAAATAATGAATTTTACATATAGCATAAAATAAATATCTTTGACTCAGTAAGCCAGAAAATGTTTGCTTGAATTAAAGCAATTGTTTACATTGATTTTTTCCTTGATCATGCTTTTTACATTAATTGCAGATGTGCTCATTTTAACTTATTATTCATTTACTGATACCTTCTATGTCAAAGTCAATTTTTAAAAAAACTTGTTATTAAAATGTCAATAAATCAGTCATTTACATAATTTTACCAAAGTACTGAAGACATCCAAATGCAGATATCAATGCTTTCAGATACAAAACTTGAGAGCAGTAATTCAAAATTGTACCCATACAATTAGTTCAGGAAAATACATCTGTCCCTCTTGAGACAGTACATCCATTTTTCCTAAACAGCCATATTCTACATACCATTTCTGGAATAGGTACCTCCAGCTGTGTACCAGAAGGTGCCTGAATAGCCAAAAGTGTATCACCTAGTCAAAAAAAGAAAAACTGTAAAAAACACCACTGATTACACAATGCAGTGGCAAGGTTGTAGGGTGTGGAGTAAGAAGCTTGGGCTTAAATCCCAGACTAGATGACCCTGGCTTTCTATAAAACCATAGGGACATGAAACTTACTGCACAGGTTTGTTCTAAGGACTAAGACAATAAATGTATTACTATTAGTAGCTTTTAGAACAGAATACTCAGTGTCAGCTCTGTTCTTATTAACAAATGTAGCTCAATTTTATTTTTACGCTTTATTTGAAATATTTAAACTACTTAAATGATTGAGGATATAGATATGAGGTATGATATACTAAAATCTTGACCTTACAATAATTTATTTTTTATGCCAAATTCCACAGCAGATTTTTGCTGAGTTTTAGATTTATAAACTTCACGCAAATCTTTCTTAGAAAGCATAAGAACTATTTCCAGACCTATTTCCAGCATAGTCTTACATGGGAAGTCAGAGTCCACTTGATAAAGTACTTTGGCAGATTTAAGCAGTGGTAATACATATGACCATCTTTTTAATAGCCATGCATGACTAAATATAAATACTCAGAATTTCATTTTACTTGTGTTATAATATCCAAGCACGTATCTACCATTTGAGTTTATTAATACATGATGTTGTCATTTCAAGGGGAAAATGTGAGGACAGGATGGAATAGGATTAGGAGTGATTTTCCTGGTAAAAAAAGATTCACCTAACTCTCCTGCTTTGTTTGATTTCCATTTGTGAGCAACACACCTATTATATAGTTTCATAAACAGTGCTGATGAGAATCATGTTGTAGTTTAAATTTGGTCATTGACTATGTGATTTGAAACTGTTGCTCAAACCCATTCAGATTTGGCTTCCTTTCTGTCTTTGACACACCCCCCACCGCCCCCTTCCACACTGAGTTTATGCCTGGGAATCGAGTCAGTGAAATAAGAGCTGTGAAGAGCAGTTATTGCCATGAAAACAGAAACAAAAGCAGTCTACCAACCCACAGCACTATAGAGTAAGACAAAATGTGCACAACTCCTGAAAATAATGACTTAGCCTAAGGTGAATTCTTAACTGCTATAGCTCAGCGGTAGCTGAGCCATCACAGGAAGAATGTAAGGCAAGGTGTAACAGGACTTACCATTAAAGCAATTGCAGACATCTTCATGAGTTACATAGGAAAATGTACTGTCATAGAGTTAAGGAACAGCATTTATATCAAGGTCTACACATTTAAAATAATACATCTGAAGGCCAAAATGACCAAATATATGAAGGGGCTGCCACACATGGTCAGGTAAAAAAGAAACCTAGTCTTTGGTCTGGAAAGGCAAAGACAAATACAGGTCTATAAGAGGAGTTCCCATCCTTTGCTCTGAAAAGAAGCCATTCTGATTTCTGTGACATCTGAAGACTGCTGGGAAGATTGAAAACTGCTTATCTAGGGGCTTCTGGGGAAAGGGAATGGAAAGGGAAAAAGAGACCATCAGCAGGAGTAGAGGGAAACCAAATAAGCCTGCACATAGAAAATCTTATTGGTCAATGCTTTGTGTTCTTTTATGAGTCAGGTATGGCCATAACAAGAGAGAGCCAGGCATGGTGGCACAAGCCTGTAATCCCAGCACGGTGGGAGGCTAAGGCAGGAGGATTACAAGTTTGAGCCTAGCCTATGTGACTTAGGGAGACCTGTCTTAAAAATAGAAAAAAGACTGGGGATGTAGGGCAGTACAAAGGCCCTGGAGTTAGTCTCTAGTACTGCAAAAAGACAAAAAGGTGACAGGCTCAGGAAAACTAAGTTTATTATAGGGTGTCAAGAGGCAGACGACAGAAAAGACGGGAAAACATTAAGCCAGAACCTTTGTTGGGGTTTCCATGGGACCAGCAGGGCAGCAAAGGGTGACTACTTTAGGGCTGGCTACTTAGGATAATTTGGCAGGTTGTACACGATAGGGCTGACCCCTAGTTGTCTGTTTCCTGGCTCTGTGATGATCATGGCAGAGGACTATTTGCCTCCTGGAGAATATGGACCAGACAAGAGGAATGGCCCTGGTCAGTCTTTACATCCTGGCTGAGCCCTCACTACCTCTAAGCAGGAAATATTTTTTAATGTGTCAAAACATGGTAATATACAGAAAATTCAGTCATGGTTTGGAGAATTGTGGATAGCTGAGATCTTTTAAAGCAAGGCAGCAAAGTCCAAGATCTCTTACTTCAATGGTTTTTTAATCTTGGGGCTCTACCTTTTTAGACTTGAAAACTCCCATTGTTCACATACTGTTAAGGAGCTCTGGTCCATGAAAAGGAAATAAGGTTATGAACTTGTTAACCAAATACAAAACATGAAAAATAAACCATATGGTGTATATTAGTAAAAAATTCATGAGAGGTAGTACAAAATAAAGTCTAGTTAAAGTTTCCATAAGAGTATAGGTAAAGTTACAAATCAAGAGAAACAGATATCTAAGAGTTGGCAGTGGTTTGTGAAAAACACATGGAACACATCACTAATGTTTTGTTCTCCCAGTATAATAGGATAAATACACAAGCCTTGGACACCTGTTCTCTAGTATGAACCATCTTTGGGTTAATAGTAGGCAGAAAGCATCACAGGTTAATTGTGGGCCTGTGAAATTTCATTTTCAAATTTAAAATTAATTTTTCAAAACTCTCACGAGTCACTAAATTTTTGCCACTTCAGAACACTGAACATAATTATTTAAAAATACTTCTGACTCGGACATGATGACACACACTGGTAATCCTAGCATTCAGGAAGCTGAGGCTGGAGGATCTTGAGTTTGAGGCCAGCTGAAACTACATATCGAGTTCAAAGTCTGCCTGGACTACATATTTCTCAAAACAAAAATACTGGCAGGCATGGTGGTACACGCCTGTAATCTGAGCAACACAGGAAACTTTGGTACAAGGATCATATGTTCAGGATAAGCCTGGGCAACTTAATGAGACTCTGTCTCAAAAAGGGCTGGGGCTGTAGCTCAGTGCTACCTGGGTTCAATTCCCAGGAACCCCCCCCCAAAAAAAACCTTATATACTAAGGAATAATACAGACCCCTGGTCTAACCACACTTTGGCTAGTATATTACATCTTATCAGTGGGTAGACTAAAAGCAGGATAATCTTTTTTCCCTCAGTGCAACACTAATGTTAATAGATGTACTGTGTAACTTTTATATATATATTTTTTCAGTGCTAGGGATGGAATCCAGGGCTTCTAAATGTTAGGCAAGCACTTTACCACTTACCTACACCCCCGGCCCTATTGTACCTTTTCTTTTGAGACAGGGTCTCACCATGTAGTTCAGGCTGAACTCACTATGTAGCCCAGGATTGCCTTGAACTCACGGTGATCCTCCTGCCTCAGCCTCCCAAGTGCTGGGATTACAGGGGTACACCACTATACCCAGTGTACTGTACAACTTTAAAAGGTAGTATTTTTAAAATATTAGTTTAAATTATTAAGAGTATTATAAAATTTTATATTCATTTACAGAATTTTAAAAATACCAAGATAAATTAACTGACCTTCAGACTGGAAGAATGTCTTATATACATATATGTTCTATAACTACATATATATGTATAATATATTTAAAAGGATATCTATTATTAATGGAGTCATCCATCACATTTTTGATGCTTTGCTGTAGCCACAATTTCTGCTGATCAAGTTCTCTTTCTTTCAGTTCTAGATCTTCAATTTCAGCTTTAAGAAATCTTAATCTATCTATAACTTCTTTAGTATTACAGCCAGCGCCTACACCTCTTAAAAACACATGAGAATTAATATCACCAATACCAAACTTAGGTTAACATCATTTCATTTCTGTGGCCATAAAACTAACTTAATAATGTAGTCAAAATACAGATGTTTACATGCTTCTAAAAATCAAGCATTAAAATTCTTACACAATCCTTACACCATAGCCCTGAACATATTTGCTTGGAAAATTTATTGACAAAACAAATTATGAAATTTCTCAATATACTCTACAAGATTTTTGTTTTCATCTAGATAGCCAGAGTCTAGTGACAGAGTTGCCAAAAGGATGTCAAAGCTAAATAGTCATACCTGGCAGTGTTAAGACTGAGATGCTGGTAAAATAAATTACAATCTTTCAGCATTTTGATGAAACTTTGGCTAACAAAAAAACCTAAGGCACAAAGCACTGAAGAACAGAAACTATTTGTCATAAACATACAACTATGCAAAAGTTTATAAATTCAGCAGCGAGAACAAGCAAACATCTCAAGCCAGGAGGGACATACAGAGGCCCAGGGAGGTGTGTCCTGGGTAAAATGAAAGGCCTGGTGTAATTACAGGCTGAAATACAGGATTTGGGAGAGACAAATGTTACGTCAAATTGCACAAAGCAAATGAAACTTTTAGAACAGGGTGCTGCCCATAACTTACTTCCATTGGATACTATTTTTTGACTTTTTTTCAATCAAATCAATTCCCTCTAAGACATTGGTGATATCATAAATTCTTCTTTTTTGCCTCACAGCCAATGTATCTGCAGCCTGTTAAGGAAAAACCAGAAAAACAACAATGAAAGACAGGGCTACTCATATTTAAAAGCCAAATAGGGCTATTATGTTCACATTATGAGAAGCCAATCCCAAAAATGACCCAGTCACTTGCCTGGAAACAATAGCTAGGTATGTCCAAGGTATCTTGCAGATACTGCAAATACCAAAGAAATTATTCCACCTAAAAGCTAGCAGATGTTAGAATAGGAGGAAAAAAAGGGCCAAGAAACAAAACCCACAAAAATAAAGGAACACAATGAGAATACTTCATGTCACCTTCTGGACTAATCAGGAGGAGCTACTAATCATCTACTTAGTCACTTCCTATCTTACTTACTTCTCTATTCATAAGTAGTTTCATCCAAAGGCAGCCTTATTCAAAAAATTATATCAGGGCTGGGGATTTAGCTCAGTGGTTCCACCGCCTGCCTTGCAAGCTCAAGGACCTGAGGACCTGAGTTCGATCCCCGGTACCAAAAAAAAAAAAAAAAAAAATCAATTCAAAAAATTTTATCTGCAATTTTTCGGCTACAGGGACATGAGGGTGAAATTTGGATTTATACACACCCTATAATACCTTTTTTTTTCTGATACCGGAGATCGAACTCGGGACCTTGTGCTTGCAAGGCAGGCGGCAGAACCAATCAGCTAAATCCCCAGCCTATAATACCGTTTTTAATAACTGCATTTTTAAAAACTCACAGTGAAAATGGAATGATTCATGTCACCCCAACAGGAAGTATAAAAATCACAAAATCAAAGTCTGTAGCACAGTTGTGGTACTAACAATTACACAAAAGCTTGGTGCTTTCATTCACATTAGAAGGATCATCAGAAACATTACATGCTGCCATGTTAGGAATGAACTCAAGAACACTGAATAGTTTCTGTAATTAGTTCCCATTCATACTTGACATATGTTCCCCAGTAGTACAAAGAAGAGTTCAAAAAAGAGGTTATCCTACAGCTCTTTTTTCAAACAGCCTATCTTGAATGTGGAGCCACATTTCAACATTCATAGCAGTAATGAAAAAACAGTGAAAATTTTCAATAGTCCCTATTGAAAATTTTAGCACAATATGTATCTAAGTTAAATGGGATTTAGCCACACATAATTGGTTACCAGCTCTCCCAGGCATTACTACTGTCTTGATTCTGTGAAAAACCAGCCCCTACAGAACCCCCAGCACAGCATATTGTGTGAATGTGGACCAGCTTCCACAGGAAGCAAGTGCCCCTAACCACTAGTACCCACTTGATTTATCTGGGACCTTCAATGAAATGTAGGTGCTCTCAGTCCATTTCTACTACTGTCTACCCACTCAATGTCTCGAACAATGGACCAGGACAGTAGGAGGGAGCAAAGAGAAGAAATGGAAAGTGGGGCGCTTTGGAATCCCCAATACTGACCTGGCACTCTCTTTTGTAGACAGCTAACAGTAGGGTCAGGACTAATCACGGCCCATTGGTACCTTCTGTGCTTGTACTTAAGAAATCTCTTCCTGTTTACCTTCACGGAACTTCTGTTCTTCAGTTTGAAGTATTTTTTATTGAAGAAGAGCAAGTCTACTGAAGTGTTAACTATAAGTAGAGAAACCACCTCCTCTTTTCCTCCGAAGAGGCTCCTTTAGGGTGACCCAGACCACTCCGGGCCTTCGCTGTCTTCCTATCTGTGTACTGACACACAGAAGAGGTCACAACCAGAGCAACAGCTCACTCAGTGTGGTGTCAGAAGACGTTTGTATTAACCAGACCATAAGAGCTCTCCTAAGTCATTAGGCAAAATGCCATCAGACTGAACTTCCAGATGAAAAAAGTTTTAAAGTATCTTGTTTGTAATCTATTACTGCTTTAACAGCCACAATATTTAACCCTTGGTTTCAAAAACTAAATACTACTTCTTAAATATTTTTCTATTTAAGTAGGTACAGATCATGTCATTTAAGAGGACCTCCAAAAGGCTTCTCTTTCAGAAGCTGCATTACTCTTCAGAAGTTAGGTTCTAAAGCCAGGCATGGTGGTGCACACCTATAATCCTAGCACTTGGGAAGCCAAGGCAGGAAGATTGAGAGACCAAGGCTAGCCTGGAGGTACAGAGAGAGACCCTGACTTGTCTCAAAATAAAACAACAAGAAGTTAGGTCACACCAGATTTGGTCTCAGCCTTGCCACTTTCTAACTTCAGCTGATCTCTTAAGCTCACTAAGCCTCATTTCCTTTTTCTGTAAAACAGGACAATAATATGCACTGAATAGTGGAATTGTGGGGATTAAACTGGAAAATCTTAGCACAGTATCTGCAGCATAATTAACAGTTTCATGGTCAAACATAGCCTGAAACAGTTGTGTGGCTAAGAATCAGGCTGTATACACACAGAATCTACCTTATATTATTGTTTTTAAAAGTTGTATGTGAAATCTTAAAAAGTTTTATCAAATAAATTGAGGCTTTCATACCTAACAGTATGATACCATGAATCTCCACCATCCCCATCATCCCCATCACCCATTTATTTAACACCCACAAAGTTCCAGGCCCCATTCTGGGTCTTAAACATATAGTAGTGACATAATAATTACGTTTGTTAAGAATGGAGGTCAGAGGACAGTGTGTTATTAAATAAGATCTTCAAAGAAGAGATCAGTGACACTGGAGCTGACTGGGACAAGTGACCTCTGCAAACACAGGGTGGAAGCACATTCTGCGTTCCTGGCCGAAGAAGCAATAAGCACACAGACTCTGTGATGTGAAGTGTGGTTGGTTCATTAGAGAAAGGCAAGCATGAGAGGAAAATAAGAGGTAGGTGGAGAGAATGAGTGAAAGATAATCAAGTCAGAGAGATAGCAAGGGGAGATCACTTGGGCCTTCCAGGCCACTATAAAGATGTCAGCTCTTACTCTCCATGAAATACAAAACTACTGGCAAGCTCTGAGCTTGCCATTTTAAAAGGTTTTCTCTGTCTAGTGTATTATGAATCTTCTATGGGGTGTAAAGGTAGAAGAAAGGAAGTCAATGACAAGGCAGTGGCTAAAATCTATTCAAGAGATGGCAGATGTCTTTGGAGATGGTGAGGCTGAAATTCTCAGTATATTTTGAACGTGTAGCAGGGAGTTCCTGAGAGGGACATTGGAAATCAGGAATTTGACCTTGAACGTTGTGATATCCAAGGGGAAAATCAAGGCAACCACTGTAGATGAGACTGTGTGGCTTAGGGGAGAGGTCTGAGCTAGAGAGACCAATTTGGTAGCCATGAGTGAACAGACTAAATTTTAGGCCACAGATGGAATCTACCAGATTTATCCAGAAGGGGAGCAAAGAAGGAGACCCAGGTACTCCACAACAGATTCTGGGGCAGTTCAGAATTTAAGGTTTGGGAAATGAGGAACAAATTACCACTGAAGCAAGAGGGGAAGCAAGAAGAGTGGACTCAGACTACAACGGAAGAAACTAAGTGGGAGAATGACCGTGTCCTTTGCTGCTGCAAGGCAAGTCACTGAAAAGTTATCAAGAGATGTCTTTGGAAAGATTGGTGATTTTGACCAACACTGTTTTAGCAAAGTGAAAACTTTAATAGAGAAATTTTAAGAAGGAGTTGAAGGAAAGTTAGAGTGGATACCTCTTGAAGAATGCTGCTGCAAAGATGAATGGAAACATGGCACACATCTGTAGGGAACTGTGGGGTTTTCAAGAAATATTTTTCTTTTCTTTTAATGATGGGAGCTATTTCAACATGTATGTATACAGATATCAAGATCTGGTAGACAGGGAAGAGGGATGATTAATAAAACAGAAGACAGACTGACAGTTGTAAAAGAGATGCCATTAAATAGGCAAAGGGGGAGCTTAGATAATCACATTGCATATTAATGAAGTCCAGTACTGAGTACAGATACAGGAACATTAGTATACAAAATAGGTTAAATATTTCCTTCTGTTTGCTTTTTATTTCCTCACTAGCTCTGAGAAGGGAGAATAGGAAAATTAATGGTTGAGAAGAGAAAAGAAAATGAAATGCAAATAAGACAGTAGACAGTAGAAAAGGAACATTATGGCTCTTCAGAAGGTAGCCATTGTGATTGTAAGTTTGACCTATCAACAAACATCACTGTGCATTTTTCTGTAGTTCAGGACAATTGCCTGGGCAAAGACAAAGGGTAGGAAGAGATCAAAGTGAGTCATTCTCATCCCATGCTTGTCTGTGGAGCTGCGACATGTGTGAGAATCAAATTTACTTAAGAAAGGTTACATTTATTACAAAAGGATGTGACCTATTCAGCCACAAAGGCACATGTAGTTGTATCATCACACCAACTCAATTTATAGAAAAAGTAAACAAAACTAGCCTTCTGAAAGTGATAGGTCTTCCCTCCAAATCCCCTAAATATATGATGCCTCGCCACTGGTGAACAAAGCACTATCTACAGGCAGAATAAAATTAAAGCCTGTGATGCTGCTAAGAGGTGGGCAACCCAAATAAGCCAAGACAGGTGAGACAGTGTATGAGATGTACTTAAAGAGGCTTGGAAAATCATGAGGTCACAGCACTTTCTTCACCTGAACAAATGAGTCCACTAAGGCCCAGTGGTAACTCTGGACAGAAAGATTATGTGGTAGCTTTATTTGAGTTAGGATTAGTAGTGGCTCATTTGCCAAGGATGTTTATCTTATGGAGAGTGGTGATGAATTCAGAAATGCTACCATGAAAACAGTAACTGTACAAAGTATTGTGTCAGGCTGGGGATTAGCTCAGTGGTGCTGCTGCCTGCCTCGAAAGTGCAAGGTCCTGAGTTTGATCCCTAGTACTCAAAAAAAAAACAAAAAAACAAAAAAAAACTGTGTCCTTCATGTTCTCTTCCTGAAAAGCAGGAATTTTATTCTCTTCCAGGATCAAAACAGTCAATACATGCGTATTCAGTATTTTAGCTGCTGTACTTTAGAAATTAACTTTACAGAAAGGAGGGTCAGAATCCAAAATAAAAAGTGTGAAACATT